TAGGAATCGGTTGGCATTGCCCTGCTACTCGATTTTACAGCATACAAGGACTCCTCCTCAACTCCAAAACTTCCTTCGGTCATATTGATGGACTTTAGGGTCACAGTTTACTGCAATGAAACAAAGCAAAGATCCTGACACATAAAATGAGTAGAATGGATCTGTTTTTCATCTGTCCTGCCACACATGCACCCCGGCTGCGCAACTACGGTTTCCTGTGAGCTACCAATTCGTAGTTTGGTTTGTAACCTGAGCAAAGGCAAATCTAGAAAGTGGGCTCCTCAAGCCCCACCCTTCCTTCTGGGCTTCTCTCAAATGAGCCTCCGGTCTCTCGGTGAGTATCTGAGAGAAGAAATAAAAACGGAAAACCAAAGAGACAGACTTATAGGGAATTCGTGTTCTGCAGCTGGTGGGTTCTACAGATGGTGGGTGACCATCTTCCAAGACAGGTGTGACACATGCAGGGCACTTTCCTTGCCAATAAGGCCTCTGAAAGGTCTTGGGGGGGTGTCTTGAGAATCCTTCGGTTTTACTTGTCTGCCTTAGCTAGGCTATATCTGCACTCCTAAACTCCCTTTTTACTTCTCTGCCTTGGATAGGTTAAGCCTTTCAGGAGTGGGAAAGAAAAGGTTAGACAGTTAACAGCTCAGAAAGAGAGGGCTGTTTGAGTAAAGGAAAACCAGAGACAGTCCGGTCATGCTGCAACTGTTCAGAGAAACAACAAATATGTTAAGGATATTAGTTTAAGATCAGCATGTACTGCAGAAAAATTAGTCACTGTCAACACTTCACAAAATGATACATTGTAACTTCATTAAATTTCAAATTAATAACCCAAACTTATCCTGTTCAATATATAAGGACAATCTACTCACTTTCATCTGTATGTATATATTTATATATACTGTAATAATGTGTCTCAGTTAAAAACATACAGTATATGTGGACCCATTTACTAAAGAATTGATATTTATCTAGTATATAGACTTTAAGCAAGATTTTTTTAAAAAAAATACAATTAAATAGAAATGGGCACCCAGAATGTGAACTGACCTCTCCGGAGTCATTTGGGGTTTAACTTAAAATGTCTGTGCTAAAAATTACAATTAAAAAAAATCTTCATAAACAGACTCTTCAGGAGATATGTAAACTCCCAAAGCCATTTTCCCCCTCAGGAAGTTTTCTTGGCCCCATTTCAAAGGTGGGGGTGGGAAGGGAGTAGGGATTGATACAATCCCAAATCACAAACACATGTTTATTGACTACAAAAAAGGAACTGTGATTTAATGACCCCAATGTGCATGCTTCCAAATGATCACCATGGAAACTATAATTTAAAATCAAACAGGTAAAAATCAAAAAACACAACAAAATCACACACATCACAGGAAGGGCAGGTCGCGGAGATATCCTTGCAGCCCTCTGGGAAATTGACATGTCCCTGTATCAAAATAGCCTTTGGGCCCCCAGAACTTTCTAGATATGCCCCTGCTCAAGTATGGCAGGAAGATTCATCTCCAAAGAAAAAAACAGCTAATTTGTAAGCGACTCTGAGGAGCCCTATGTCATGTTGTTAGGGTTTTCGAGTACCACACACACAGCTGTAGTGAGAAACAAAGCCAGTTACTCTCTTATCCACTGCGCTGTTACCTGACGCAGATTCCTGGTGACTTTGACATCATGCCAGGCATTATCATTAAACTTTCCATTCACGGGCTCCACTAGTGCTTCAAACGCCCCTGATCCCAAATTAATGACCAGAGAGACAGCTCCATTTTTCAGGGCAAGATTGACATAATCAGCTGATTTCCCAGTGTGAAGCATCAGTCCATTTCTTTGAAGGGTTTTAAAGGACAGAGTTATTTCATCGCTGCTGCTCTGAATGGGGTTTTGAGACAGGTCGTAGCAGAAGTATTCAGATCCCTTGAAAGTGGCAATGTATTCTTCTTTTCCTAGAGGGAAACAGAGACACACACGCATAAGTAAAGCAACGCGCTACGTAAGGCAGCAGATCGCAACGGAAAAAATAATCGGTATGGAAATTAACTCTTTAGCTTATAAACATCAGGACTGATGAGAGTCCTGTCAAAGAAAGTCCAGCAGCACTGTAGGTGGCATCATATCCTATTTAATACAACTCCTCAGCCATTGGGCCATTCACTATGGCAGCTAAAGCTGACATTCTTGAAAATTCAATTAATTTTTAAGTATCACTGCAAGAGCTCTGACCACAGAGAAGCAGCTCTGCGACATCTCCGGGGCACGACTCAGGTACCGCAGATGCATATGGGACGGTTCCCCTCTGTTGGCAACAACGGCTCCCCACGTGCTCTCCATCCAAATAAGGCATTATTTTAATGTTCAGTGAGATGTTTATATTTAAAGATCTTCTCAGTGAAGAGCCAAATATCTTCATCACTGAGAAACCATAACAAATTATCTTTTGAGGGGAAAGCAAAATAAAAAAAAAATAGAATTTGGTCTGGGAGTAAATAGATCTCCCGCAGATCACATGCATTTCTTTCGCTCTGGATAAAAGGAGCAGCGACAGAAAATGTAATGGAGTTAGCTGGACTGCTGGTTCAGTCCCTGATCTCACCAAGCAGATGGTAGGGCTGATTTTATGAGGCTGGCAGGAATTCCAGCACATCGTGATGGAGAAAGCATATAAATGAAGTCTCAAAATGTTCTATATGTCTCAGTCTGTAGCATATTTAGGAGTAACAGTGTGACTCCCACAAGATGCTGGACAGACCCAACAGAAATGTGGCTCTTTGGAAAGAACTGTCTTCTCTCACTGATGAAATGAGTTTAACCAAAGGAAGAGTGTACGCCGAAAGCTCCCTCAACATCCTGGGAATGATGGAATTACGCCAAGAAAAACGAGAAGGTCCGGTCTGGAATCAGCTTCTGATAAACTATAGACATGGGGCGCCACGTGGTACTGAAGAATCTTAAGCCATTTCACTGGTAATACAGCACCTCTGCTGTGCCAACTGGAGAGCTCATATGCCAAAAGAAGTCTCATTCCAATGGTGGCAATTGTTTGTTTGTTTGTTTGTTTGACCTCAGGGCTATTTCCATTTGACAGTCAAATAACTCATATCCTTGCATCAGAGCTCAAATCAAGGTTTCAGCTCACCAGTGTCCAATGACCCGACTCCCTGGATGCAGCAAGTGTCATTAGTGGCTGTAAGTAGGCATAACCTGGCACCGAGTAAGGCAGTGAGCACCTAGGGACTTTCCCAAAGGAGGGTGCCATTAAAGAATAGTCACTGCCTACTAGTAAACTATTAGTGAAGACTAGTGCTCAGGCCACTAACAGTTATCCATACATGGAGCATTCCATTTGATAGAAAACACATTTCTTATCACAGAAAGGACTTAACCTTATATAATGGAACTACTTAGTTGGACGTGGTAGAAGGTGTTCAATCTTTGCACAGTAGATTGAACAAGTGGATCTTTTCCACACAAAGTATCACTGATTTCTACTTTATAAAGGGGAATGTTGGACAAAGAGAGGTTAAGTGACTTCCCAAATTCACCCAGAAATTAATTCTCAGGACAATGTCCCTTCCCATATGCATGAGATAAAATCTCATTAACTTGACTCTGTTTCCACAACTTTCAAGTTCAGAGAACTTCTTTAATAAGTGAAGGATGCCTACAGGTAGATAGAAGTCCTACTGTCCTGATATCTATGACGTATTTCAGGCCATTTTCCTATGCCAAGAAACGGGATTACATTATTGTTCTTGATTTCCTTGCCTTTCATATATACAAACTCAGATCACACAGTTTTGTAAGGTTTTACTATGTTCATGTGCTTTAAAGTGTGTTCAAACACAAACCAGAAACTAAAATCAACATGTGGAAAAAAACAAACAAACAAAAACAGACATTTGAGATAGAGGCTTGCTTTGTTTGTTTTTGTACTCCAGGAGTCAAATACACAAGAATATTTTTTCAAAACATCCTTGACTAAACAAAGGTACACACTAGAAGTTTACATTATTACATTAAATAATAAGCCAGGCTGTCTCTGACTATAAATACAAAGCAAGTTTAGGGAACAGAAAAGGGAAGCCTGCCTATTGAAAATCACATCAGGTTAAATCCTCGGTCCTTAAGAAGAATAGAAAACAGCACTGTTTCACCTGCCACATTCTGTGTCATTTTGAAATTAAAACAATTAATTGATTACTATAAGGAAAAAGATCGCATTAATTTAAAGGTAGAGCAGTTACTCTTTTCTTAGATTTTGTACCTGATGCAATGTTATAAAACATTCCAAAATTCCCAAATATGATTCAACCTATGTAAGTTCTGAGGCTAACTTCTGTTATCTGAAGTAAGAAATCAAGCTTTATAAAATATTCATTCTTCAAGGTTTTATTTCAATTAGGTACACCTCAAGGCAACCAATGTGGAGATAAGTTACCAAACATCCATCAGATAACTCCAAAAAATAGATATACTTTTAATGATATCCTTGAAGTCATTAAATATGAAAACTAAAGAAGATATAGGCAATACTTAGTCCGCTGCCTTCATTTATTAGATGAAGAGACTTAGGGCCCAACAGATAAAATTATGGTCATATAATTAATTGGAATAGAATCAAAATATAACCTTGCCCTCTTGATTCCAATTTCATGCTCTTCCTTATTTCCCAGATATTGCCGTGAAATGAGCCTCTAATTCATGACCAAAAACTAAATGCAGCTTAAACTTGAACATGGTTTTCCAAAAATACCCACAAACAAACAACAACAACAACAAATACAAGCTAAGGTAAAAACAAAACAAAAACACAACACAAAACAAATAGCATTTGAGCATTTTTAAAAATTAATTATAATATCATTCTTCCCAACACCATAACTCTAGGAAAGTTTTTGGTTAATTAAGGTTTATGGAGTAAGAAAGACATGGAGGTATCACAAATAGCATAAAGGAAGAAAAAATATGTCTCAGTTGATGGTTTATTCTTTTAATCAGGATTGTACCTAGATGATTTGCAAAATGATTTCATGTGATTTTTGTGTTTTAAACTTTTTAAAAATTTTTCATTCTCTCAGGGAAAAACCTTGAGCTAAGAATGAGGAGAGCTGAGCGATGCTTTCTTTGTAGCCACTTTTCAGCTCCCTGCCCTCGGCCACCCCACTTGGGCCCACTGGGTCTCATTTTTCTCCCTAGCAAAGCCACACAGCTGGTCTAAGTGATCTCCAGTGTTTAATTCTAAAATTCTATGGTTCTATAACATTCTTGATTTACTGAGCCACTGTTTTATCGATTCATTCAATAAACATTTACTGAGGCTCAACTCTGTGCCAAACTCTATTGCTTTCCTGCTGTCAAAATCAGGCAACATACTAGAGTTAAAATGTTCTTTCAAGATTTCTGATGGCTGCTGCTTTTAAAAGGAGATTTTTATAGCAACCTCTGTCTCTTTGGGCTTCTAGAGCTCGTTTTCCTCTTATACTGTAAGAACTTAAAAATTGAGAAAAACAAAGAGACCTGGAAAGATGTTCTGGTCACACTCTATTAGAAATAAACTTTCTATTCTGATCACCTTTCTTCCTTAGCTCCCCCCAAAATACCTCCAACAGATTTTCTGGCCCTATGTATGCTGGGGTGTTAAAAGAATATCTTTAATATTTTTTCTCCCAAATTTAAGGTATTTATCTATGTAAATGCAAATCCTAGAATAATAAAATATTTTAAGAGAAAGCTGGTATTAAACTAAGTTTATATGAATTCATTTGGGATTTTACACATTTCTCCAATAGAGGTATAGAAGAATCAGTGAATGCTGAATAATGGTTTTCTATGGATAATGCGCTTAATTTGGAATTATTGAGATGCCCTGGGTTCAGTTCCCCACTTTATGGTTGGTGCTATATGACCACAGGTAAGTAATTGTAACAGAGTCTGAATGCCCTTCTACAATGGTTACATTCAGGCTGTCATGCCACACCTTCAGGTTTTTAAAAAAAATCAGGATCTGTAACATAATGATTATGGAATTGTTATTATTATTAATGATATACCGATTCCTCCATTACCTCCCCTTATCCCATCTATTGCAGTTGTGTTGAAAACATTGTCAATCAACATTGTCTAGCTCAGCAGGTCTCACCCCAGGTCCCTCATCTGATTTGAATACTATTTTCTCAGTTCTCCCAAGGATGGTACAAAACTAGTACCTTTCTAAATACACAGGAGAGAGGTTAATTCATTATGCACAATGTATTCTCTGTGGCTTTATTCCACTTCCAACACCAATAGAGATCAAGCCTAAGTGCAAACACACAGATTTTATCAGAAAGAATTTGGAAATAGCTCACAGAATAGAAGGACTCACTGAGCCAGTAAGTCTTGGAAAGGGACACACACGGGGAAGATCTCAGCTCCTCACAGCAGAGCTCCTGGTTTCCCCTGGGGTTGTATCTTGTATCACCCATATAACTTGACAACATGAACCCCAGACTCAAGGAACTCCTCTCAAGTTCTGAACCCCCTAAAGGAGATTAACTTTGACTAGCTCACCTTGTGCTAACCAGAAGTCTTTACTCTCAGATGAGACTTTTATGACTGGAGTGGGGAGAATGGCAGGATAGTAAAACACAGACACATGGGGAAGCATCGTGACAGGACAGCCCACCTCTTGATTAACACCTGACACTGTCAACAAGCGGATGTTGGGACCTAATACTAAGAGAGCATCCTTCATGGTCTTTTCCTAGGATGTGAAGAATTGTTACAATTTCCTTCTTAATTTTACCTATGTTATAAACTTAGGTCTTAGGGTCCATTGTAAAAATAAAATAAAAAAGACATTGGCTCATTTGAGACTAATTTTATTTGAACTGTGAAACTTTATCAGACAGTGAATCCCAGAATATGAACTTTAGAGTTGGAAGAGGGAGATCTATAAAAGTTATAG